CCCAGAGGCAGTTCTACTCTGTCCTGTAGGGTTGCTATGAGTCAGAACCAACTCATTGGAAGTGAGGTTATTTTCTGAGTGTATACCTGGCACATGGATGTCAGCAATTGTTGTTCTTAAAGTCACAAAGCCAGGAAGAGGTGACAAGGACATTAATTCCAAGTCACTCTGAGCCCATACCTGGTGTCTTAGCCATAGTTGGAAACTTGAGGTTCCCAGGCACTTCCACAGGGCCTCTGGGCAACATGGAACTCTCTCAGGTGAGATAGCCTCACACAAAGCAGAGTCCACTGCAGAAAGGAAGTCAGGGCCTGAACTGACCATGTAGGCCACAGCACTAGAAGGAGTTCCCTCTCTTCAGCCATTCTAGTGGGAGGATTTGAGAAAGCAATGCTGAGCTGGTGACAAGGCCCTGGGTGGGATGCTGAGGATAAGAAGTGAAGACAAGAACGTTCACGTCAGCAGTGGGGAAGAGGGTGAGAGGAAAGGGAGGGAGGTGGAAGCAAATATTTATGTTGTTAGGTACCATCGAGTCGGTTCCAACCTACAGCAACCATATGCACAATGGAATGAAACACTGCCTGGTCCTGCACCAACCTCACAATTGTTCCTCTGCACAAGCCCGTTGTTGCAGTCACTGTGTCGATCAATCTCCTAGACAGCCTCTTTCTTTTTTGCTGTGCCTCTGCTTTCCCAAACATGATGTCCTCCAGGGATGGGTCTCTCCTAAAAACATTTCCAAAGTATGGAAGACAAAGTCTCACCCTCCTTACCACTAAGGAGTACTCTGGCCTTACTTCTTCCAAGACAGATTGGTTTGTCCTTTTAGCAGTCCACTGTACTTTACAATATTCTTCTCCAGCACCACAATTCAAATACATCCATTTTTCTTCAATCTTCTTTATTCACTGTCCAACTTTCATATGCATAAGAGGCAACTGAAAAGACCATGACTTGGGCCAGGCACACCTTAGTCTTCAAAATAACATCCTTGTTCTTCAAAAATCTAGAGAGATATTGTGCAGAGGATTTAATTAATGCAACAACTATTTTGATCTCTTGACTTCCATGAGCATTGATTGTGAATCCAAACAAGATGAAATCCTTGACAACTTCAACCTTTTCTCTATTTATCATGATGTTGCCTATTAGCCCCATTTTGAGGATTTTGATCTTATTTACATTTAGTTAGAATCCATACTGAAGGCTGCAATTCTTGATTTCATCAACAAGTGCTTTAA